CAACAGAATAATCAGAGAAGCCATAGAGATAGAAAAACGCCCACACAGCATGAATAAACGAGATGATACCTCCCGCATACCAGCCATTTGGAAACCCGCCCTCATTAACAAAAGAGTACCTAACATGAAGAATGACACCAGACCCACACCCACAAGGGCCACACAAGATGCTACCACCACACTTCCACATAGAAAGCAGACTCACACCCACACAGATGATGAGACACGACCACGGGCCAGAAGCCGTACCGGAGCTGCATCATTACCCGCTTCAAACCCCTCCGACCCATACATGAAACAAACGGACGCCCACCATGAAGATGTGGCACGAACGTGAAGCCAAACAACAGGATCACAGCTCACCAGCTCAAATCCCCTGGCAACTAAGACTAACCTCAGCACAACCAAACCCCCACCTGAATAGAACACACCCCCAGCCAATCAGAACACAGCCAACCCCCCAACCAAGGAGAACACGAACCCCACCCAATCACAACACAGCCAAGCCCCCACCCAATCAAGTCACACCCCCACTAGCAGTTAAAAGGAAGAAGCAGCTGCAAGCTCACATTACTCCAAGAAGCACAAAGCCAAAGACACTAGCCTGAAGATGACGAATGAGATTTCGTTGAAACGTTGCCAAGATATTTCCAATTTTACATGAGAGAAAACCTGAATAACCAAAGATCCACATACAAATACCCGTGAAAACCTCAGAATGTATATATATTTGTTTTCTTAAGTTTTTGCGGGTACTTACATGTATGGTATTCAGCTGTGTTCGGGTATTTTCCCACGTCATTATAGTTGTGCTTTTAAAGTTGTAGAAACGTTTCGGCAGAATCTCATCTGCCATTATCAGGCTTCTGTATTGTGTTCGTCTGTGAGTCAGACTTTTCAGTTTTAAATTCAGTAGGCTAGCCCCAAATTTAAAACTGAAACAACTCTAAAAGCCTGACTCACAAACGAACACAATACAGAAGCCTGATAATGGCAGATGAGATTCTGCCAAAACGTTGCTACAACTTTAAAATATATACATACACACTACATATATAGATATTTGGATGTATGTTTTTTTTTAATTTGTAAAAAGCCAATCAAATCTAACATGGATTTTGCTCTGAATGTGTTTTGGTTTCTAGTGGTGGGGCAAGTCTGACATTTAACAACTTAATGTGATCTCTTCAAAGTCTTGACACACAAACAAGTAAAAAATAAACTTAAACACATTAGGTATTTTGTTTTTTGTTTTGTTTTTTTTACAAAAAACAAGTGGCACTTTTTAGGTGATGGATATGATTGTATAATTAGATTGATTTAATACTTCTTAAATGTCAATTTCTTTATTTTTCCCCATTGCTTTTTTTCCTGTTATGCACAAAAGTTACCCAGCACACCATCAGAAAGTATGATGATCCTACCTGAACTCTGTTCCTGTGGAAAAATCTTACCAGCAGGTGTTCTAGTTTTTTTGTTTTGTTTTTATGTAAATATCTTTTCCCTTTTATGGGGCAATTGTTGCCCTTAAGTAGTTCTTATTTCATTTATTTTGCATGCATACATGTAGACAATTACCTTGTTCGCCATGTGTTGACGTGTCATTGTAAAAGAATATATTATTGGAATATTTTTGGTTTGTTTCTCTCTTCTGTCTGTCAGGATAATATTGGACACCGTTTGCTACAGAAGCATGGTTGGAAGCTGGGCCAAGGCTTGGGGAAATCTCTTCAAGGTAAGTAAAAAAAACTGTAACCATTAAAATATTCAATATCCTTCAAATCAAATTTCCAGTTTAGAATCTTTCCCTCCTTTCTTGCCCTTGTACTTATTAAGTTTTACATTTATCATTATTACAATCAGTTTCTCTTCTTATATATTAGTCAAGTATGTGGTCCATATTCTAAATTATATATGTTTATCAAGTTTTATTTAAGGGAAATTGAAAGCTGGATATTTCAGCAGGATTATAGTATGGATGGGAAAGCCATGCATCATTCTGTTGTTGACACAACTTGTTTAGTCGTGTCACCATGATTTTATCATCACCTTTGGTGAATGAAATATTAGAAAAAAATGCAGTAAATCTCCCTTCCAGAAAATAGTTATTTTTTTAACCTAGGGGGTGGTTTCCAATCTTAGACACTTGTCTGCATTGGAGATATAAGACTTGAAACTATCACAGTAGTGTTAATCTAAATAGTTAGTTTCAAAACCTACAGAAATCTGATTTATACAAATTATTTGTTGCTGTAATTTATTCATTTGAAGTTGCTTCTGAGGGGTTAAACATTTTGCTTAGTAGAATATTTACTATAATTAGCATTAACCCAACACAAACTTCTGATTTTTTCTTCCTAGTTTGATTCCCATCCTATCTCATATCAGCCCATATAGCCTAGGTATATTTTAGGTATATTTATTGAATGTTACTTTTTTTAAGCTGTGGGACACTTCATTTATGTAACCAGGTTTTTTGATAACCAATACAAAGTTAGTGAGTAGCCGCAAAGTCATTTAGACAACAGGATAGGTAAAATAACAAGGTCTTTCTGCAAGTAGAATCCAGACATATATTGGAACTTACTACCGTATTTCCCCATGTATAAGCCACCCCTTTTTTTCCAAAATTTTCAAGCCCAAAAAGTAGGGGGGTGGCATATACAAAGCAGCTACACTTTTTATACGTGAAAAATGCATAAAATAATAAAGTAGGAATAAACTGGTTTTCCAGCAGTATGCTATACTTTTTTGTAAAAATTGTACGTGATGATACGATTACGAGTGCGAGTACGCGATAGAAATGCATACGCTAGGCATCGGCCTGAATGCTTCGTTCCTACTCTCGTTCCGATGCGTAGATTGCTAGCGTCGCCCGCACCGCTTTCGGCGTCATGACCGAAGTTGTAGATCTAGACGTCGAATTTTGTTTCTTTGTAAATTTTCTTTCTTCATAACTTGTTTCTCTAATAAAATATTTTTTTCAAAACTTCACAGTCCAAAAATTGGGGGGGGTGGCTTATACAAAGGGGGTGCTTATACATGGGGAAATACAGTATATTGCCTATCCTCTAATATCATGATGGCAAACCTATGGCACGCATGCCATAGGTGGCACACAGAGCCATTTGTACCGGCACATGAGGTGCAGGCAAACTTACCTCACTGGGCATGCGTGCACCTCACAGCTGGTTTTCGGCCAGTTTGAGGCCTTTTTCAGCCTCCCAAAGGCTTGAGGAAGGCTTTTGCAGGCCAAAAACTAGCCCTGTTTTGTCACTTCCTGTTTTTCCAAAAATACCGAAAGTGATGAAACGGGGCTAGTTTTTGGCCTGAAGCCTGTAGAAGCCTTCCTCAAGCCTTTGGGAGGCCGAAAAAGGCCTCAAACCAGCCGAAAATCAGCTGTGAGGTGCAGTGCAGGTAAGGGGGCGGCGTGGATGGATGGGGATTACATGCGTATGCGTAGGGGGCATGGGGGGCATGCATTGCCTTCTCGGTGTTGGCACTCATGCAAACGCGCACACAATTTTTGGCACCAGAAAGGTTAGCCACTACTGCTCTAATATGTTTCATTCCTATTATGCTCCAGTGAAGCTTACCCTTAATGAAAGTGGTAAGATTTTTTTGTACTGTATGAATAATCGAGAATAATTAAGTGCTGCCTAGTAAGTTAAGCTATATATATTTGAATAAGAAAGCTCTCCGGTTAATTGATTAAGGTATAGAAGTGGTTTCATATGGTTCCTGTCCTGAATTGGAAAGGCTATTCTTTTCAAAGAACAAAATTGATTGCAGAAAATTATAATGAGAACAAACTACATTGTCTGATGTTTATTTGTGGAACTGAAAATTAGTTCAATTTAAGATTAAAAACACGGACACACCTGCATCTCCCTGTATGGTATTTCTACTTTCTATGGTATTTCTACTTTATCATGTACTTTTAACATATTCTATATTTACTTAATTTCAATTTAAAGCTAAAATCTTGTGGAAATACTTTAGAGAAGTGCTCTGGAATGCATGCAGACATGTTTTTAGTATTTTTAAAAAATTATTAAAAGTGTGTCTTCTATGGTTTGCAATGCTTCCTTCTGCATTTGCATTTGCATTTGTATACATGCATAGTTGCTTTGAATGAATGAATGAATGAATTCTTTATTGGCCAAGTGTGATTAGACGCACAAGGAATTGGTCTTGATGCATATGCAGTCGGTGTACATGAAAAGAAAGATGCATTCGTCAAGAATCATAAGTTTCAACACTTAGTGATAGTCATAGGGTACAAATAAGCAATCAAATCATACTAGACTACAAATCATACTACTGACTACATAACAGTCAGTAAATCATAAGGATACAAGCAACAAAGTTATAGTCATACAGTCACAAGTGGGAGGAGATGAGTGATAGGAACAATGAGAAGATTAATAGTAATAGTAATGCAGACTTGGACAGTGTTGAGGGAATTATTTGTTTAGCAGAGTGATGGCGTTCGGGGAAAAACTGTTCTTGTGTCTAGTTGTTCTGGTGTGCAGTGTTCTACAACATCATTTTGAGGGCAGGGGTTGAAACAGTTTATGTCCAGGATGTGAGAAGTCTGTAAATATTTTCATAGCCCTCTTTTTGACTCGTGCAATATATAGGTCCTTAATGGAAGGCAATCCATTTTTCTGCAGTTCTAATTATCCTCTGAAGTCTGTGTCTGAGAGAGTTATAGAGGTGCGGATGACATTCTCCTCTGTAGAACTGCATCAGCAACTCCTTGGGCAGTTTGAGTTTTTTGAGTTGGCACAGAAAGAACATTTGTTGTGCTTTTTTGATGACGTTTTTGATGTTAGGTGTCCATTTTAGGTCTTGAGATATGGTAAAACCTAGATATTTGAAGATCTCTACTGTTGATACGGTGTTGTCTAGTACTGTTAGAGGTGATAGTATGGGAGGGTTTCTCCTACCACCATTTCTACGGTTGTGAGTGCGTTCAGTTCCAGATTGTTCCGGTCGCACCATGAGGCAAGTTGTTCAACCTCCCATCTGTATGCAGGTTCATCATTGTCTCAAATGAGACTAATCACTGTTGTATCATCTGCAAACTTCAGTAGTTTAACAGATGGATCGTTTGAGATGCAGTCATTGGTATATAGTGAACTTTGTTTCATTATGTGTTACAAAAGCAAAACATCTGTGTATGCTTATACATGCAGTAAGCAGGAACAATTTCTAAAGCAGCCACGTGAATCTGAAAAGTCTATATTTGCTATTGTGATTTAAAAAGTGCTTCATAAATACCGCAGCAACTTTGAAGAACTTCTTTTGAAAGCTATTATCTATTTGCTTTCATTATTTATATGGCCCCAGTGACATGAATCAAAGTATTACAATTAACTGACCTCTTGCATAGGAGCTCTATCTAGAACAGTAGTCGCCAACCAGTGGGCTGCGGCCCACTGGTGGTCCACAAGAAAATTTTGGTGGTCCGCAGAGAAATGTCACCCCAGAGCACTCTCCAAAGCAATTTATCTAGGCTGCGAAGGAATACAAGGCTGCGCCGTGCACATGGCCCACAGGAACCCTCTCCGCCCACTGACTCCTTACCTGACAAACTTGCCTGTTAAGTTGCTATTTTTCCTCCCCCTCCCAACCATCAGCTGTTCTGCTGTGCCAGGAGATTTAGATTAGGTAGAAAACAGGAAATCATTGGATTTCTTGCTTTCTAATCTTTAGATTTTCGGCTCTTCAGAGCTGAACCTTCCTTAGGACTGAAGCTTCTATTTGTCAGTGCAGAATCAGGTAGCCAATGGCAGATAGATAGATCTCTGAATGAATCTGTGATTCTGTGAGCAACTCAGCCTGCCTGCCTACTTTGCCTGATTTTGGGTAAAAGTTGTTCTTTTTTAATAAAAAATTCAATATTTACATAAATAATATATATTTATAATATTTACATACAAGTCATGTCCAGCCAATCACATGACCACCAAGCCACACCCACAAATTATGCCATGCCCACATAATCGGTTGTTAAGAAATTTGAAACCCCTACCTCTGTGTGTTTATGTGTGTGTGTGAGAGAGAGAGGGAGGGAGAGAGTGAGGTTAGATCAGATCTGTCTGTCTCCCCACCCACCCACCCCCCGGGATATAAAATTATGAGTTTGATGGTCTCTGAGGTCCAAAAGGTTGGTGACCCCTGATCTAGAAGGCTCATTTTAAGATCTAATGAGAATTGGTATATTAAAATCTACCCATTCATATTGTTCATATCAAAGAACAGTAACTGAAATGTCTGAAAAGTAAAATAAAGATATTTTAACTTTTTGTTCTTTAGAGAAAATATTGGATAGCAGAATTTATTTTTAAAAAACATAACTACTCAATACTTTTGTAAGCATTTAATTAGTTAATACAGTCATATCATTCTGTTTTTCATGCTAATTTTTTGCAAAATTCTATTTGTAATCTCTAGTTAATGTTCTTCTCTGCTAAATGATCTTGGTGCTCTAAAAAGGAATTTATATGGTCACCCATCTTAATTTGGTCAAGAAGTGCTTCCTAATAACACATAAATAACACTAAATAAGTAAACAATAATGCAATGTAATCAAGCTTCCTGGTAAACAAACCATAATAATATTCCTCATTTTCTTTTATGCTGGCTTTCTATGAACTAATAAACTGGAAAGTCTCTTCTTTGATAATGAAAACTATTTATTAAAACATATTTTAACACTCAGAACAG